GTGTCCAACAACCATAATCGTTTACTGAAGAAGGGTCTAGACCCGAAACGTCAGCTTTCCTGCTCCTCTGCTGCTGCCTGGCCTGCTATGTTCATGCAGCTCTACACCTTGTTATCTCAGACTCCAGCATTGGCAGTTCCTACTATCTCTTCCACCATGTCACATTGTTTTAAAACATTTTAATCTGTATTTTCTCTAGCTGGTGTACTACTGATTGTCAAGAACTACACAGGAGATCGGCTGAACTTTGGCCTAGCCCTAGAGGAGGCAAAAGCAGAAGGCATTGATGTGGAGATGGTTATTGTAGCTGATGATTGTGCCTTCACTACACAAAAAAAAGCTGGAAGGAGAGGTCTGTGTGGCACAGTACTTATACACAAAGTAAGTCTGATACATAGAAGTCTTGAGGTTTGGCATTGGAAAGAGACCACAAAGAGATCAGTCTCTCACACTTTCCAAAAGGACTGAAAGTTTAAATAAAAAAAGTTATAGTATCGAGAAGGCTTGAATTCCAGAATGCTGAATGAGCATAAATAGAAATAGAGACACTAATCATCATTTGTCCATGTTTTGTGAATAGGAATTTTCAAAGGGAGGAGGATGATGAATTATGCATCCTTATTTATAATTGGATTAAACTATTCTTAATTTGGTTGTAGGTGGACTCCAAAGGTTACAGAATTCGGCTGTATAGTGTCCATAGCTTCGGTAGTATAGTGACAGTGTTAGTACCAAAGTGGCATACATGCTGCAAGTGTCTATTTCAGTCTCTGTGTCCTGAGAATATGTAGAGTAGACAGATCATGATCTTGGTCAGCACATGATGCCAATTTTCCACTTACACTGCCATTTTCAACCTTGCCGTTGTAGCTCATCAACACACATAACTGAACTCCCTCATTATTGCTATTTGAGGATTAACAAATCTTTTTCAATTTAATCGCTAATCAATTTTGATGGGGTCCAACAGACTTTTTAGAATGGGTGGATGTTATCTAGCACTCTTCAAAGTTAACAGGGAGTAGTATGAGATGTAGTTCTAGTGAGGCTGCTTGCTTCCACTCAAGTTCTATACTTATCATCCCTATGGCTTCCAACATAAAATGGAGATAGAGCACAGGCAGAATACAAGTGGACGATCTGATCAGAGGGAAGAGGAAGAATGAGGGCGGTCATTCCAAGCAGGAGGCCTTATCCACAAGGATGTTCAACGAGTATTTCCCTCCCTCAACCTAAGGCAGAAAAAAAGTGTGCATTGTGTCCAGTTAATGCAGGAAGCAATTTTTTTGATGTAAAGCACTGCATATAAATGTTTCTAGACCAGTGCAAATTTTACAACACGCATTGACTCAGGTAAACTTGAAGCTGCTCCACCTGCTATCCAGAGTTGAATTGTATTAGAATGTTTCTTATAAATGTCTCCAGTACAACAGGCAGAGTATTAAGAGTCAAGTTGTCAACTTGACATCCTCTCAGTATAAAGAGAGGGCTTGCAAAAATATATTTTCTGAAGTGGGCCATTATTAACGCTAGTAAATTTGATCTTGTAAAAATGTGAATCTGAGCCATTGTTTGCTCTGTGATTAAAGAGTAACACAGTTCAGTTAGCCTTGCTGAGAAATGTCAAAACATTGTGGACTGTAATTTCGAAATGTGTCAATGATTAAAATGGGTATCTTTTCTCTGAAGTTATTAATTAATCCTGTCACGTTGCACAATCTCAAGTCTAATAAAACCTGTACTGTGGGTGATTCCAACATGCTTTAGGAAGCTATCTGAAAAGCATTCAATTCCTCATCCAGGTTATTCCTGCCAATCTACTTTCCAGTTTATACATAGATTAAAGTTACCATGATTATTAGAATTATAACAGCACAGAAAAAGGCCATTTGACCCACCATGTCCATGCCAGTCATCAAATGTCTATCTATTCCAATCCTATTTTCTACCACTCAGCCCGTAGCCATGTATGCTATGGCACTTCAAGTGCATATTTAAATATTTCTTAAATGTTTTGAGGGTTCCTGTCTCTACCACCCTTTTAGGTAGGGAGTTCCAGATATCTACCACACTCTGAGTGAAAAAAAATCCTCAAATCCCCTCTAATCATCCTGCACCTTACTTTAAAAATTGACATCACTATATCACAAGCACCCAATGTTTCTTCTTGCATAGTTTGCCCCAAATTATGGTTCCTATTAGGAGGCTTGTAGACCACTCCTACTAGTAACTTCTTTCCCCTACTATTCCTCGTCTCCACGTAAATTGACTCTGCATTTTGATCTCCTGAACCAAATTTATCTCTTTGTATAGCACGCATGCCCGTCTTGATTAACAGTGTTACCTTTTAACCTTTACATAGCTCCCTATTTTTCCAATCCTTGTCATCCTGAGGCCATGTCTCCATAATGGCTATCAGATTACTTCAATTTGTGCGATCAATGTCTAATTTGCTATGTACGCTTTCAGGTACGGATTCTTTAGTTTTGTCTTTTTGTTATCTCTGTATCATCTTGCCTTGATCATTGGTGTATTCCTAGGTTTTTCATTTCTCTGTTCCTTCCTGCCATTCTCTGACCATCATTTCCCCTATTACAATTTTGCTTTCTTATCTTGTCTCTGTTTTTTTGATGTACTACATCTTCCCCTCACTGTTTGGTTTAAAATCTTCTCTATTTCCCTAGTCATGCAGTTCATAAAATCACTGGCTTCAGTACAATTCAAGGCATAGGCTGTCCCAATGTACAGCCCCCACTTTCCTCAATACTGGTGCCAATGCCCCACAAAGTGGAATCCATGTCTCCCACATCTGTCTTGAAGACACATAGTCATCTTCTAATTTTAGATACCTAATGCCAGTTTACACGAAGACCAGGTAATAACCCAGAAGTTCTAACCTTTGCGTACTACTTTTTAACCAAGTGCCTAGTTCATCATTTTCTCTAAGCAGAACCTCTTTCTTGGCCTATCTCCATGGACCATAACCACTGGATCCTCCTCCTCCCACTGCAAGTTCATTTTCAGCCCTGAGCAGATATTCTGAACCCTGGCACCAGGCAGGCAAAATCTCAGCCAAAGACTCTTGCTGTTTGCTGCAGAGGATAGTGTCACTCCATCCTCACTATACCACACCCAGTACTACTACATACCTTGTTGCTCGCCCACTTGAATGGCTTATTGTATCACAGTGCGCTAGGGGTTTGAACATCCATCCTGTATTCCGTAGTCCCCCTGTCTTAAACAGCTGGGAACATATCAAACAACTGGACATACACATAGGCTAGAATTCCTGTCCTCTGGGATCACCTACCTCCTTCATTCATAGTCCCACCCTTTTGCCTTGAACCCTGAATAAATCAGAAGACCCTTTCCAAAATCTTGCGACAACCTCCTGAAATTCAAGTAACTTTCCTTCGCCTGATGGATCATAGTGTCTGTAGTTCATCCTCCAGCTCATAAACTCTGAGACAAAGGTACTTGAACTTTAAACATTTATCGCAGACATGTTTAGCCTGTATCACAATGCTCTTACATATTGCAGCCTGGACACGTCACTTCTACTGCTGTCCTTCATAGGTTTAAATTAAAATATCCAATTAATTATGTTGTCTTTTATAATATTTACTTAATTTTGCCACCAACGTGTATAATGTGTTAAAATGTGAAAGGAGAATTGACCATAACTACTTAAAAGAGACTTGCCAACCAACTAGCTCCTTTGTAGCAGACAAAGAACTGATTCCAATCAGTTCCGATGAATTTAGCTCTATCTCTCATTGCCCACGCCTTCAAAATGACAGGCTGGTTTATGGATTAATAATTAAATGAATGGAAAAACATTTGTTGCAGGCTTTACCTCATGACAATAATGAAGTAAAATACTTATGAAAATATGAACTGCGGGCAGGTAGGCCATTCAGCCCCATGAGACTGCTCTGCCATTTAACAAAATCACTGCTGATCAGATTGTGGTGTCAATTCCACATTCTTGAGAAGCCAGAAAAACATTAACTCTCTTGTTAGTTAAGAGTCCATGTACCTTTGCTGTAAATGACCCTGTTTTGATTCTCTCCAGAAATGGGACTTCCAGTGACTAATGACGTTTAGAGAGACAGACTTTTCAAGACCATGATTTTTAAACCGTGTCCCTGAGTTCTAGTCCCATCCACAAGTGGAACCATCCTTTTGGTATCCATCCTGTCAAGTCTCCTCAGAATATTGTATGTCTCAATAAGATGATTGGTAGTTATTCTAAACTCCAATGAAGTAATTCGTCTTCTTGAACTTCCACCCTGAAAATTTGAATGTTTGTGTGGCCTACTTTGTTCTATTTTTCAGCATCATTTTTTCCAACCTGCCTCAATTACAAGCCTTTTAAACCTGATCTTAAGTGTTCCATGAAGGTGGCAACATTTCATCAAACTAGTTAGTGTGGTTTGACTAGATTGGACAACTCCACCGTCCCAACTCATTGTGAATTTAAGTTAACACCTTTATTGTTTCATACCCAAGCTCCTTTGCATAAAAATAAGCTAATGTCCAGAAAAGATACAATAACAGTTGACTGAATAAAGAACTAGATATAGCACTGCTATACTCTCTAGTTGAATACCCTGATAGCTGTCTAAGATTACAAATGAAGAATAACCACTTGGGAGAGATATTGGGGTATGGAAAAAAGTACCGGAGCAGGGAACCAAACATTGTCAGAAAATGATGGAAAAATATTATAACAAATGTTTAAGCAATTGTGCCCACGGATCAAAGCTTTTCCACTGTGTTTATTGTCTTTTTCCTTGCTGTTGACAGATGGCCGGGACCATGTCTGAAATGGGAATGCCGCTGAGTGAAATTGTGGAGAAGCTGAATGCCGCTTTATGTAAATTAGGTAAGTGGTAACCAGCCATACTGTGGAAACTAACCAAGGAAAATATTCTGACTAATTTGATTTTGATTTTATTGTTACAAGTATTTTACAGTAAGAATACAATAAGATACAGTGAAAACCTTTTATTTGTTGCCACAAAACAGCACCATTTTGAATAATTTAAGAATAAGAAAAAAAAGATGCAGCTTGAAGAGAGTCCATCAGTTCTGAGCCAGCTCATCACTGTCGACAACACCTGCAATAACATTTACAGTCTACAAGAAATATTAAAATTTCAATTAAGATGAACTTTAACTTGTACTTGTGACTTGACATCTATAGTCCTTACAATTCACACTGTCATTTTAGATTTCAGAAGCAGGTAGCACTGCGTGAAAGATAAGAATATATTGAGTCAAATTAGTTTAGACAAAAGTTATTGGAACACTGAGATATGTACTGACATTATTTGAAATTAGATTCTTAATAATGCAGCTGGTAGCACTCTCCAAAGTCTCCTATTTTCTTTAAACAATAATCGCATAATAACGTGGATTATATTGGAAGACATTTTTGTTTGGCAGTTGGAATTCAACTATATTAAGGAAATAATTAGACTGAACCAACTGTCATTCAGATTGACAGGATTTTGATGTTTTGTTGAGCTGAAATAAAGAATTTGCTGAAATTATCTTGAAAATCATTCCGTCCCGCAAATGATAGTACTGAGATACCTTCAAAGCCGGGAGGATTAGTATAATCATCTATATAATCATCTAAGGCATGAAACGTAAACTGACTTACCTGTCATCTGATTGTTTGGGGAAGGGAATTCAGTTGATCATTCATCTAAACATTGTTGATTCTGTAACTCTAACTGCTCACAGTAAGGATATCACTCATCTGAAGTAACATACATGGAGTTGTCAAACTACACTTTTCTGTAAGTTCACTGGCAGTCTTACTGCCACAACATGTGCTAAATTGCCTCTTGGATCTCGTTACAGAACTGGCCACATATATGTTCTATGTGGTAGACAATCTCCAGTCTACTGTTTTGGAGCACTACTAGAGCTTTCCACTCACAAAGACTAGTTGCTGTCCCATGACTAATCACAGCTGTGATGTGGAGATGCTGGTGTTGGACTAGGGTGGGCAAAGTCAGAAGTCACACAACACCAGGTTATAGTCCAACAGGTTTATTTGAAATCACTTCACCTGATGAAGGAACAGCGCTCTGAAAGCTTGAGATTTCAAATAAACCTGTTGGACTATAACCTGGTATTCTGACTTTAATCACAGCTCCTCCAGTTTCTTCCCAATATTCCAGAGATATTCTCCACTAAGAAAGAAAGGAACTGACTAATAATGTAAGTTGAAATACAATAGATAATACAGCAAAATTGAAATTTAGTGCATAAAAATTTTTAATTAATAAAAACTGCATTAAACAGCTCAATTAGAGAACAAAATGTTTTGCGCAATGAGCAGTGAAATACATGTAACTTGTACAGTACCAGACAGATGTGAATTTTTCCTTTAACTTGGCATGTACAAAAATGTTCAAGAGTCAATAGTCAAACTTGGAGCATGTACTGGAATTATTTAAAAATCGAAAGAACTGCAGATGAGGTAAATCAGAAACGAAAATATAGATTGCTGGAAAAGCTCAACACGTCTGGCAGCATCTGTGGAGAGAAATCAGAGTTAACATTTCGGGTGGAGTGACTTTTCCTCAGACCCTTTTCCTCAAAGGCGTCTTCACAGTTATACTGATTATTTGCTGCATTAGTGGTGTTGCTAGCACCAGTGTAAAATCAAGAAAATTATTTGGCCCAAGGACTGCCTAGTGCACAGGCTTTCTCTGTGGAGAGAATAGGCATAGAACTATATAAGCTATAATTTACATCTTTGAAGTGATACAAATGAGAATTATCCTGATATGAGTGAATTTAGTTATTCATCTGGTATTGTTCCATGGACAGATGTATCATGTGCTCTTATACCAAGCAAAATAGGCCAGAAATGCCCCATGTTATATCCTCAGTCTGTACCAGATTAACTGATCAAGGCGAAATGCTTATAATTGGCCTCTATGCCCCTGATCTAGGCAACGAGTTGTTAGCCTTATCCCCATTTGGTGATCCCTACTGGAAGCTGCATTTGTATGGATAGCAAGTGTGACAGCAGGATTAGATATGATTGTATATGATTGGATAGTGCCTATTCTCAGTTTAAAAATAAGTCTGCTCACTGTAAAATTTTATTTTATATTGTCCCCTTTATTGTAGAAAAGTTGCAAAAGTTCTTTCCAGAGCATCAGACAAAAATAGATGCTGAATAGAGAAGAAAATATTAGTAAAGGTAACCTAAAGCTTGATCCAAGTTGCATTTTGATCTTGAGAAGAGGGTGAGCAATTTAAGGTGAGAATTCCAGTGTCAAGCCTACGTGACTGAAGTAGTTCAGTGTTGTAAAACAGGCCAAAATCAGAGGAATGGACAGTCAAGAGTTGAGTTATAGAGCTGGAGAAAATTACAAAGCAGGATGGGAACATTATAAAGAGTTAAAACGTAGGATGAGAATTTTGAAAATAAGTACTTTCAAAACTGGAAGCAGAAGCAGTGTTGGTGAGGATAGGAGATAACAAGGTGTAGAGCTGGATGAACACAGCAGGCCAAGCAGCATCAGAGGAGCAGGAAGGCTGACCCTTCTTCAGAATTGGTGAGGATAGGGCTGTTTGGTTGACTAGGGCATGAGCTTAATAAGATATAGACAACAGAGATTCAAATGAACTGCTGTTTAAAGTGGATGAAGGCTCGGAGGCTGGCATCGGAGTATTGGAATACTCGAGGGTGGAGCTTGCAAAGGCATGGATAAGGATTTTTACGGCACATGCTTTGAGCTCAGAAGAGGCAAGCGATATTATAGAGTTGGCACCAGCTGGTCTTTCTGATGGAGAGTACATATGGTTTTGGAAGCACAAGTTCAGACCATTGATATTGTGAGTGGCCTGGTTCAACCTAAGGCAATAGATGGGGAAGGAAATGGAATTTTGAAGCTTGAGAGGTATGAGGCTTGTAATAATTGTTTTCTTTTTTAGTGTTTAGCTGAAAGAAGTTGTGACCCATCCATTACTAGATTTTACATCAATAGTCAGACAGCCCAGAGGCATTGAAGGAAGAGAGCTGATGGTGCTGAAAAGCTGCATTGTATAAGCATAAATGTGAAAGCTTTCTACGTGTCTAGAACTGAGGTTGCTAAGAGACATCATGCCATTATGGAAGAGGAGGAAGGATGTGGGATGTCAAACATAGATTAGAGAGAGACCCCAGAGATCCTGGTAGAGGATGAGAAGCAAAGTCATCCTTGTTTAGACTCCTGGTGTCTGGAGTATGGCTACCTAGGTTATTTGATGCAGGCCTTTAGTACCTATAAATGTGTCATCCAGCAAGGGCATTTTCCAACATCTTCAGACAAGGAATAGACAAAGCTGGCGATGAAGAAAAAGAAATATCATTATGGGCATTACCAAAATCCTTGTGGCATTGAATAATGCTCCTTACTGGCAGATTATATTTTTATCCAAAATGTAAAGGCAGCACACATCACTACTTAAAAGTCTGTAAGTTTTAGAACCTTGGACCTACGGTATTTTATTATCTTTTTAAATCATATCTGATCCCATCAATGTAGTTCTAATGGAAGCAAAAATCATACATGCTCCTTTGATTATTAACTTTTTAATTTCCCTGCTCAGGTACAATGGGAATCTGTCTGTCCCCCTGCAGTGTACCTGGATCAGAGCCAACCTTCAATCTGGAAGCAGATGAACTAGAACTCGGACTGGGTAAGAAGCTGTTCAGAACATGGAACGTACAGAGCGTAACACTGCAGTATAACCAATTCCAAAGCAGTATAACACACTTACCTCAGCATTGATACAACAGAACATCCCTCTCACAGAAACAGGAAGAAATATAAGGAAAGTTATGGCATAGATGGAGGTCATTTGCTCATTTATTCATGGCAGCCGGAAAAGAACAATCCAGTCTTCCCGAGTTCTTGATCTGTAGTCGTGTAGGTTATAAAAGCTGAGGTTTATATACAATTATTTTTTAAATACAATTTAAGTTTCTACCTCTAACATTCCTTCAGGCCATGAATTCTAATCTGTCACTGCGCTCCAAGTAGAAACATCATGCCTTAGTTCCCTCTTTAGAGATTAATATATGCTTCTTGGGTATTGACCCTCTGTTAACAGAAATAGTTCCTCTCATTCATTGTATCTTATAATATTACATGGCCCAGTTAAATTTTCCCTTAATCTCCTCATTTCTAAGAAACCGACAACAGCCTATCGAAATTTTTCTTATAGCCAGAAGTCTCTATTTCTGGCAACATTTCAAATATCCTTTGTAACCTCTCCAGAATGATCACATTTTTCTGTAAAACAGGACCAGGACTTTATGCCTTACTCTAGCTGAGGCCTAACTAATATTTTACTAAGATAACAAAGTGTAGAGCTAGAAAAGGGTCTAGATCCGAAACATCAGCTTTCCTGCTCCTTTAATGCTGCTTGGCCTGCTGTGTTCATCCAGCTCTACACCTTGCTATCTCAGATTCTCCAGCATCGGCAGTCTCCACTATCTCTGAATCAATTAGTATTTTACTAATATAACCTTACTTGTCCTCATATTCTAGGCCTTGACCACCTACTGCCCTCTACTGCTACTCTTAGGAAATGTGGACATGCACTTTAATACCCTGCTATTCTTGTATTTGACTTGGAACCCCCGGCCATTAATTGATTACTTTGTTGCATTTTTTTTGTCTTCGCCACTGCATTTTATATTTGCCCTTTTTACCTCACCTGATGAGTTAGCTGCTAGCTTTCTGCAGCCTAGAGCTTTCTTCTTCACTATTAACCGAAATTATCTATTTTTGTATCATTTGCAACCTTCTTAATTGTGTCTTTTAGTTTGAATCTAAATCACTGATATATACCACAAACAACAAGGAACCCAGCACTGAGCCCGAGGGAACCACGTTGGTGAAAACCTTTCCCATTTACTTTTACACTTTGGTTCCTGTCAGTGAGCAGACTTTGGATCCAACTTGCCACTTTCTGTTGCACCCATGAGTTTTTAATTTTCTGCCCAGTATACCTTGTGAGCTCTTGTCAGATGCCTTGATATAATTCATGTAGATCACATTGAATGCACCAGTTTCATTGACTCTCCTCAAAACTTCACCCAAGTTAGTCACAAATCTATTGACCTTTCTTTTAAAAATATTCAATGACTGTGGCTGCAGCGCTCCCTGGTGAGGAGAGTTAGAAAGTCTCACAACCCTCTTTGAGAAAGAATTTCTTTTCCTCTATCTCAAATTGAACATTTGCCGTAGTTCTAGTCTCCCACAAAAGGAAACATCGTATCTAACACTATTAACATCCAGGGATAGGTCATAGATTTTCTAGATTTGCCTCCAAAAAGAACAAAAACAGCAAAAAAAATTTACCTCTGTGAGTTTGAGAGATGAAAATAACCTGAAGTCCTTGACCACAATCACAAACCAGTCACCCCTGCTGAAAAATATGACCACGTTTATTAAGACCACTTTAGGAAAATATGAAAGATTGTTAAGCCGGTGGCACCATCCCATAGAAGAAGGTACAATCTGTACAGAGGAAAGGAAAATGGATACTTATTTGCAGTTTGTGTAACCACATGAGAACTTCAATGCACACGTAGTCCCATTCTGTTGAGGGTGAGAAAACATGTTTGTTCCTTTGTCCAAATTTGGAAAGCTGAGAATCCTTTTTGCAGGGGACCTTGTTCTGCAAGGCAGCACAGGAAAATAGATCATGGCCCATACCAAGCCTGGTAATCATCGATGGATAATTACAAATACTTTGAAAAATTTCAGTTTATTGTTGCTTGTAAGAACCAGTTATAATTGGATCATATATCTTCCAAGCTCAACAGGTGATATAGAACAAATTTCCATACTGAGATTATAGATCAGTAAGTTAGCAAGATCCTCAACCTGATCTCAGCTAAGATGATTTTGGAGTCTTGCCTTTTGTCTCTATCACTGGAGTAACTTGTAAAGAAGCAATCAAATAAGGCTCGCACTTTAACTCCAGTTGTAAACTGCCTTGAAGTGAGCAGTAAATGAAACAAGCTAGGATTTGGCTGAGATGCACATCTGATCCTTGAATGGAACACTTGCTGCTCTAGGCATATGTTGAATGATCATTTCAGCAAGGTGCCAGAACATGGGTGTTTGCCATAGAATTCTGACCAAACAAGTATTTCTGTTTTCAGAGGAAATAAGCATTTAAAAACACAGCGCTAGCAATTACATTATTTTAAGACCATTGCTATTTGTTTAGGTATCCATGGAGAAGCTGGTATCGAGCGGATAAAGGTGAGAGACCATGAAACAGTGGAAAAAAAGGAGATTTACATAGTGAAACTATTGGTGATATATTGTGCAATAATTTCTTTAATTTCAGTAGAGAAAATAGCATAAAGTGTAGTACTTGGTTAGTTATTACATAACATAATGTGCTGAGCAGAAAACTGAAACATCTGACTGCTGGGCTACAAGGGAGATCTAAGTGATAATTTTGATCTTGATTGCCTCAGTATTCCATTTCCTTTTCCTCCTCGCTTAGTTGGACTACTCAGCGAAAGCTGGGAAAAGTTTTTCTAAGATTAGCCTACTTGTACTGAAATACTTAAATTAGTTTGTGGTCTTGTGAATATTCTGTTCGTAAGTGTCAACCATATCTCTCAAGTTGACGGCGTGTAGGTTCAAGTACTAGTCCACAACCTAAAGTCAAAATTGAGGCTGACACTTCAGCACATATTGAAGACTACTGAACTATCAGAGATGTCATTTTTTGGATGGAATAGTGAATCAAAACCTGCTAGGTCGGTATATAACATCCCATTGCACTATTTTGAAACACATTAGGGGATTTATTCTCAGTGTTCTGGGTAACATTCATCGCTCAACCAACATCACTAAAATAATCAAATCAGCAATGTTTATGACATTGCTATTTTTGGGACTCTATGCATGAATTGACTACTCTATTTTCTACCTAAAACGTGACTGGATTTTGATAGTACTTAATTCAATGTAAAGCTATCAAACTGACACTATTAAATAAACTATATTAATTCAAGTTTCTTCTGAACAGAAGGACACCATTACAGCTAATACCAAAAAATACCTGTATTCAATAAAGGAGGGAGGCAGAAAGCTGGAAAATAAAGCCCAGTTAGCTTGGCATCTGTCATTGGGATGTTTATAGAATATTACAGATAAAGAAAGTTTTAGCAACATGGAGAAAATCTTGGTTTGGTCAGACAGAACTAATATACTTTGTGAAAAGGAAATTGTATTAACTAATCTCTGAAAGATTCTTGACAACATAAAATTTCTGGTGGATAGAGTGGAACCAGTGAATGTGATATACTACACATTTCCAAAAGATGTCTCATAGGGTGCTACATCAAAAGTTGCTGCACAAGAGCACATGGTGTAGGGGTCTCGATATTAGCATGGATAAATGATTGGTTAGCTAACAAGAAGCTGGGATAAATGCGTCACCTTCAGGTAGCCAAGCTGACACGAGTAGAGTGCTACAGGAATCATTGCTGGTCCTCAACTATTTACAATCTGTAAAAATGATGTGGATGAAGGGAACAAATGTAAGGTAGCTAAATTTGCTGATGACACCAAGATAGATAGGAAACTAAATTTTTAAGAGGAGGTAAGAGACTTTGCAAATGGAAATGTGGCCATGTTAATTGAGTGGGCATAAATTTAGCAGGAGTGTAACATAATTTGAACTTAAACATTTTGGCAGGAAGAATAGGAAAGCAGTATACCATTTAAATTAAGAAAGATTGCAGGAGTAAATGGGAAAGAGGGATCAAGAGGCTTTGGTACATGAATCACATGGAATTAATATGCAGATAAAGCAAATGTATAAGTAGAAATGGAATGTTGTTGTTTCTTTTAAGGGGAATGGACTGTATGAGTAGTGAAGTCTTATTACAGCTATACAGAGCATTGTGCAGGAGCACTGTGAACAGTTTTGGTCTCTTTAAAAATAGTTTTAAATGCTTTAAAAGAAGTTCAGAGAAGGAAGGTTCAATTGACTCCCTTCTGGGGTGACAGTTGAACAGGTTTGACCAATATCCCTTGGAGTTTAGAAGAATGAGAGATGATCTTATTGAAACATATAAGATCTTGAGGGGACTGGATAGGTGAATACTAGGAGCAAAAACAGAAATTGCTGGAAAAGCCCAGCAGGTCTGGCAGCATCTGTGGAGAGAAATCAGAGTTAACATTTCGGGTTGAGTGACCTTTCCTTACAAGTGAGGAAGGGTCACTCAACCCGAAATGTTACCTCTGGAGAATTGAGGAAGGGTCTTTCAACCCGAAATGTTTATTCTGATTTCTCTCCAAAGATGCTGCCAGACCTGCTGGGTTTTTCCAGCAATTTCTGTTTTTGTTTCTGATTTACAGCATCCACAGTTTTTTTGAGTGAATACTAGGAAGATGCTTTCTCTTGAGAGTGAAAGCCTAAAACTAAGGGATAAAGTTTAAAAGTAAGAGGGCTCACTTTTAATGCAAAGTTGGGGTTTGTTTGTGAGTGGAATTCCAGAGAGGGTGGTGGGTCCTTACATTTACTTAAGGCTGAGTTAGATAAAATTTTGATTTACAAGGGAATCATGGGTTATTGAGTACAGAAAGGCAAGTGGAGATGGGTCCATTGTGTGGTTAAGTAGACTTGAATGGCCAAATAGCCGAATTGTATTCCTTTGTTTCTATGATAACTATTTTGGCACTGTGCCTACGTAACATTATTTGCAGGAACTGGGTAAACACTTACGTGCATCCTGATAACAATTATCCATGCTTTTCTGCCACCAATTTTGCTTTGATTACAACTTCCATGCTTTTGGATGGGCTGTCTCATCTCAAGATTTAGATGAGTTGCAGTTTATATCAGTTGAATGTTGGAGATGTAAAATCACTTATGCTGCTGTTGTCTGTGTCTGTGCTTTTGTCACTTCTGGATTTGAGAAATTCCGTGCTATTCACAAAGCCTCCACATTCCACAAACTGTAGCAATGGTCAACATCAGCTGCCTGTGCATATCCTATTCTGGACTAAATCCTACATACCAAACCCTTTCTTACTGACCTAAATTGAAAATCCATGTTAATGCCATTTGTTTTTCAATTTTATCCAATAATACTTCCAATAACATCCAATTTTATATGTACAACTTCTTTCAGCTTTATATTTCCATCTGTACTCTTTGACCCTCTGATTCTGACCTTAGTGCATCCCTTTTTTTTACACCCCATCATAGATGGGTAGACCTTCGGCTGCCTTAACCCTATTGCATCACTAAATTACCCTCTCCATTTCTCCTTGATTATCCCAGAACTTAATTATTTTCACTACTGTCTAGGCCACCATTCCTCCATAGCTTAGTGCCTGTTTTCCTGTCAATTTTCATTTCAGATGTAGGAAAGAATTATCATAGAGTAGAATCATCATAATATAAATATTATTTAGAGTTGGCATTTGTTGTTATTAATGTGGCCTCTTCAAAATGGCAGTTAAATTGAAATATGCAATACTGCCACTACGTGAGTAACTGGAATGGTACTTTGTCACTGTAATGATAGCTAATGATATCTCATTCAAACTGTTTAATTGTATAGCTGATGGTTCACCATCTTTTGGATTTTATTTTCTTCCTCCAGATGATGTCAGCTGATGAAATCGTACAAAAAATGATTGATCACATGACAGATCCCTCTAATGAATCTCATTTGAATTTAGAAGCTGGTGAGTACAAAGTTGGGTGTAGGTGGTTTCTACTCCTTTAGTAGTCCCACGTACTGGAGGAGTTACTCCATATTATGCCCAGAAACTGTATTCTGCATTAAATTAACAATGATCCCTCTTAATTTTTTTTTCCTATTCATTTTGTGGGATGTGGGCGTCGCTAGCTGGCCAGTATTTATTGTGCACTCCTAGTTGCCATTGAGAAGGTGGTGGTTAGCAACCTTCTTGAACTGCTGCAGTCCTCCTTCTGTAGGTTAACACACAATGCCATTAGGGAGGGAATTCCAAGATTTTGACCCAGCGACAGTGAAGGAACGGCGATATATTTCCAAGTCAGGATGGTAAGTGGCTTGGAGGGGAACTTGGAGGTGTTGGTGTTCCCATATCTCTGCTGTCCGTGTCCTTGTAGATGGAAGTGGTTGTGGGTTTGGAAAGTGCTGTATGAGAATCTTTGGTGAATTTATGCAGTGCATCTTGTATATAGTACACACTGCTGCTACTGAGTGTCGGTGGTGGAGGGAGTAAATGCTTGTGGATGTACTGCCAATCAAGCGGGCTGCTTTGTCCTAGATGGTGTCAAGCTTCTTGAGTGTTGTTGGGGCTGCACTCATCCAGGCAAGTGGGGAGTATTCCATCATGCTCCTGACTTCTGCCTTGTAGGTGGTGGACAGGCTTTGAGGAGTCAGGAGGTGAATTACTCGCCTCACTATTCCTAGCTTCTGGCCTGCTCGTGTAGCCAATGTGTTAATGTGGTGAGTCCAGTTGAGTTTCTGGTCAATGATAACTCACAGGATGTTGATAGTGGGGTGTTTAGTGATGGTAATACCATTGAATGTCAAGGAGCGGTGGTTAGATTGTCTCTTATTAGTGATGGTCATAGCCTGGCATTTGTGTGTGCGAATGTCACTCGCCACTTGTTAGCTGAATCCTGGATATTGTCCAGATCTTGTTGCATTTGAACAAGGACTGCTTCAGTATCTGAGGAGACACGAATGGTGCTGAACCTTGTGCAGTCATTGGCGAACTTCCCCAGTTTTGACCTTATGATGGAGGGAAGGTCATTGATGAAGCCACTGAAGATGGTTGGGCCGAGAACACTACCTTGAGGAACTCCTGCAGAGATATCCTGAAGCTGAATTGATTGACCACCAACAACCACGACCACCTTCCTATGTGTCAGGTTTGACTCCAACCACTGGAGAGTTTGTCCCCGGTACTCATTGATTCCAGTTTTGCTAGGGCTCCTTGATACCACACTTGGTCGAATGCAGCCTTGATATCAAGGGCTGTCACTCTCACTTCACCTCTGGAATTCAGCTGTTTTGTCCATGTTTGAATCAAATCTGTAATGAGGTCGGGAGCTGAGTGGCCCTGGTGGAACCCAAACTGGGCGTCACTGAGCAATGCACTGCTCAGTGATTCCCCACACCATAAGCATATGTGGAATCAACGAGAGTTGTATGTGCATCTGAAAGAATATACTAACTCTGATAAAAAAAAGACTGAATAGCACTTACCTATGTCTCAGCTGTCCTGTCAGCCTCTTTGTTGATCCTTAAAATGACTGAGCATTGGTTCAGTTATCATTGCACAACAAATGACGATGATTCTTGCGTATGACATTTATTCCCTGGAATTCATCAGCTAGTTATTTTAAAATATAAAATCTAGTAGGAAAGGAAAAGATGAAGTACATAAGCTGATTACACATGCCAGTCTGAAGGATGGGTTGTGAAAAATATAGATCTCTTTATGACGAAGGAACTGAGACACTCCATTCAGTGCACAAGTATTTTCTTGGAGGAGCTGAGGTAGACTAGATTTGTTTCATTCTAAATATTATTTTCATATTCACATTATTTTGACGTTGAATGCTTGAAGGGCAAAATTTCCACCTGACGATTGAAGCAAGTTATGATATTGTTTCACTGCTGTACTTGCTACTGTGATTATGTTTTGTGGAATGATTTTTTAAAAAATAACATTCCTTGCATTCATTGTTGAATGCTAGGGATGCAAGTTTACTAATTGTCCAGGGCACAGATCTCTTCTGAAGCATTTAAGATGTGCTCAAGCTGAACTTAGAGAGAATACTGGGATGTAGAGTCATAACTGGAGTTAGTATTTAGTGATTGAATGTGAGGTTAGCAACAACACAGAATTAATATCTCAGTTCTGAAGTGAGGTTGCAGTCTCAGTCATTTCGTGGGATATAATGCTTTAAAGTTGGTGTCCCTGATTGGATCAATGTGGAAGATTCTTATTGTGTTTCCTTACTCATATTTCAGCTGGAGAAATTGGTTACTAATTTTGTTTACTGAATTTGATTTTATTGTGTCTCTAGGAGATCATATTGTGTTGATTGTGAACAACCTTGGAGGGCTATCCTGCCTGGAATTGAATATTGTGGCCAAATCTGCAGTTAAATATCTGGGTAAGTTTAAAAGTATTTTTGTCCTATACTCTTGACTAAGATGATAGCATGTGGAGTCAGGTGACATGTAACACTATCATTAGCAAAGTAGCTACAAAAAGCGGGGAAAAGCGTCGGGCTAAAGGTAGTTAATTAGGAAAGATGAAAAGTGGTATTCCAACACTGAGATCAGTGCTAGTGTCATTGATGCTCAACTATTTATATTAAGAATTTGGACTTTTGAAATATTATGACAATACCAAATTGGGAGCTATTAACCTGACGATGCATCCAATTTGAAAGATATTCAAATTTTGACAACATTATACAAAGAAGCTTACATTGTGGCTGTTTCGCTGGAGGGATGTAGACCACAGCTGAACTATTGGGTCCTAAATCTCCACAGGATAAAATGTATCACCAGCCTGAAGCATTAATTGGATTTGACAGCTTTGCGTAATATCCTTTCCAGGGGATGTCAAAACTGAAGTTTATTAGATTTAACAACTTGCATTTCCAAGATGCTTTTAATGTTGTACAATATGCCAAAATGTTATGTGTGTGTATGAGAAAGAGAGAGAGCTTTTCAGATAACAGTAATTTAGGGGCAGAATGAATTATGTAAATTGAAGAAAGATGTTGCGAAGTGAGATAAGTAGCCTTGATGAGTGGGCAGTAATATGAATGGAGCTTGATATCAGCTTTAAAGTCATTCAATTTGTTTGGAAGAAAGATCAAATAGAATATTTTCCAAATAATCTGAACAAGGAGCTATGAAAAAGCAAATGGATTTAGGTGGCAGTGTACATAAATCACTCAAAGCTAGCCCACAGTGATAAACATAGTCAAAAATACTAATGGAATTATGTGCTTTATGTTGAGGGTTGCCATTCAGAAATAAGGAAGCAGTTTTTCATTTGTACAGAATCTTTGCCACATCCCAGCTGGAGTACTGTGTTCAGGTTTAGGAACCATATCTTAGGAAATATGCAACAACAATTTGTATTCAACGATAATAAAATGTCTGAATCTCTCCATAGGATGGTCTGAAAGAAAATTTCAAATCAAGGCAAGTAAAAGAGTTATTCGAGCAGACAGGGCAACCTTAGTTGAAGAGATGTGTTTTAAAGAGTATTGTAAAGGGCAAATGATATAAAGAGAGACAAAGTGGTATAGGGATGAAATTCCAGAACTCAAGACTATGAAGGTAAAGCTGTCAGTACTTGAGTTATTCAAATTAAGTATACTCAAAAGGCAAGAATTGGAGAAGCACAGACTTCTTGGATAGCTGTAGGGCTTGAGAAAATTACATGTGATGAGGATGAAGAATGAGACAGAATTTCACGTTGGGCAACAAGACATCACTTCCTAAACCGTACTGTAACATATGAACCAACCTGCAAATATTGTGGTCATTTAAGAGTTTGGGGCTCCAGTCAGATATGACTTAAATAAGAAATATTAGAGTATTGTTGAAATTGGGAGATCTGAAAAAAAAGGAAGATAACTGGCTATGATAACTGAAAGTTAGGACATAGAAGGCCTTTTGTGAACTTCCTCTTCCTCTGCCTCTCTGTCTCATTCTGCCTTTCAGACATTCTCATTTTCACTCAACTGTCATGCTCTTTATTGTGAATTCCTTTGCTTCTGCATTCCCACTTGGTCTTGTGCTGTTACTTCTATCTTTGTATTCTTCTTGAAGATGCTATGTGCACATTTGGTCTGTAATGTTCATGAGTTGATTCACATTTCTTTTTCTCTTGTACTCTTCTTATATGACAGTCCAGTTTCCATGTTTCTATATGGTCTGCTCTGCTGTGCTAGATTCAAATCAAGATACATAAAGTAAAAGAAAGTGGTCTATTCTGTAATGGCATCTTGACCCATGGAGTGAAGCCAGTAAAATTTCAATATAAATGCCAGGCTAATGAAGATAAATTCCCTGCTTCTCATTCAAATTTGTCCTATGCTAATTTGTCATTTTTTTAATGGACGTGAATGTGTGTTTTGTAATTCTTGTTTTCAAAACGTGCTGGAAATGCAATGTCAAATTGAAGCCATTTAATGATTGAATTCTTTAAATTTATTTACGTTGAAATAAAGCTAAGCTTTATTGTGGTAAAAATGATAATTGTATTTTCTGGGCATCCTTTTCAGAGCGTAAAGAGGTCATTATTGAAAGGGCCTACATTGGATCGCTAATGACATCTTTGGAAATGGGAGGAACTTCTCTGACTTTGATGCATGTAGATAATGAACAACTGAAACTCCTGGGTGAGTGCTTTTGGGTGAGAGCTGCAACAGAAGATACAAATCTTTTAACTTGCACAAAACACTGAATGGATAGCCCAGAGATTCTAAGGCTCTAAGATTCTAGGACCTTGCTCTGAAAACTTAAATCTGGTGGTCTTTGATATTCTAGAGGTTGACCTCATATCTCATTCCTGGGGATAGGTCACTTTAAGAATCACACTGAATGGCCTGGTGCCTGA